CAACCTTCTTCTGCTACAATAAAGTCTAAATGTGTCTTAAGTCTTTAAATTAGGATCAATGACTCTATTTGTTATCTAAGCACTTCTTCCCAGAAGGAAGCTGAATACTTAAACAAGGCAAAGAGTAAAATCCTTATTCCCTGGGACTACCCAGTGAAATCCAAGTAGAGATCAGGATTGTAGGAAGTCATCTGCAGATAGATTCGTCGGGAGAGTTCTGGTCCAATCCGCCGGGAGGTGGCTGTCACACCGTAACTGTGGCGCACAGGGATATTAGCCAGCATGTTTTCCCGCTCCTCCTCCGAGGAGCATCTGCTATAGGCCTAAAAGCAACATAAAGGAACAACGGTATCATCCATTTGCATCCATCGCTCAAAAAAATAATCAAAGCTATGAACCTGTGACTGGTCTACCCTTTCACAATGTACACTCATTTTTCACCTGGACTCTCCCCAGATCTCATTTGTGAGCTTACAGGTTGATGCAGAACAAATACTTCTCCCTCAGTAGTCCGCTCTGTAAAGCCAAAGCAATGGGTGCCAAGGGATCAGTTCCTTCACTACCTTACTAAACAGTTCATACAGAATTATTGTGTCAAATTTAATACCAATTAAATTATTTCCTCCACTCCTTACATTAGTTGGCTGTCTGCACACACTTGGTATTCCTAAGGAATCCTCACCTGGTTCAGAAGCTGAGGAGAAGGGTAGGCGGACACAATAGCCTCAGCCATCTCAAGGCTGACCCGGTTAAATTGTTGTATCTGCCTCTTCCAAACTTCGAAGAGACCCTTTCCGGAATGATCCACCTTCACCCCTCCGCACCACCCCTTCTCTAAGTAGAAAGAGAACCCCGTCTTCTCTCGCTCTCGCCTAGGGAGAACAAAGAATGCGAAAGCAAATGAGACAGTGAGGCTACGAAGAAAATCCTATTCCTGCATCTGTTGTCACATAGCCAGAGACAGACAGCCATTTCTCACTCCATGCTGTTATAGACACCATTGGCATCAAAGTAAATGCTAAAAATTTGACCCTATTTTCTTTACATGCATTACCAATTTCCTTGTTTAAGACCCAGATTTCCTACTGAAAAAGGAAAAGAAACAATCCTGTACTTGGGAGCAATCCTGACACAAGCCAACATGCACAAAAAGTGATAAACAAGAATTCACTTTCTGACTGTCAACCATAATAAAACACTTTTACATGTCTTTTTTAATGACATGTCATCTCTTCTCATGGCTGAGATGTAAAATACAGCAGCTGCTCTGATAGGAATGCTAGAATTGTGTGAGACTGCATAGGGTGGCTTTCTTAGCTATCACTGTGCAACATGCTGCTGTCCTCCCTTATCAATGCAAGCAGCTAAATGGTTTGTTCTCAGTAAGGTCTCTCTTGTTTATATACTGAAGAAGAAAAGCTGGTGCTGTAAGAGCCCAACCCTACTTGCATTCCCTTCACACTCCTAAAATCAGACTGAGAACAAGAGCTTTACTTGATGTCAAGACTCCGACGTGAAACCAGGGTCTGTCCTCACCCCTCTCCAGGCAGGACATCAGTTTCCAAGAACTAACCCTATGTTAAAGGAGCTGCATTAGCAGCTGCTCTGTGTTGCCTGCTCCTTTAAAAATCACTATACTGTGTTGTACTGAAGTACAGCCGCGTACCTGCTATTCCCTCCCAGTAACTGTGAAAGTGCAGCCTCTCCAGAGAGGATATGACCAAACCTCATCTGCTTACTCACTTGAATGGTGCTTTAGCTACAGCTTTTGTGAACATAGTGGCAAATTCTCCGAGATCCTTCCAGCTCTCACAAAAGCTGACTTGGACTTGTTTGCACAGCTGCAGATCCACCAAAGCCTGTAAATATAATTGGAAACAATAAATGGAACAATTAATCTTCTCACATCAAATCTAACTCTTGTCTGAAACAAAAAAGGGTCACAACATCTTGCTATAGGACAAGAACATCCACTCTCTCCCCATTTTGGGAACAGTTAATTTAAGGCACTGAAGTATTTAGGGGCAGCCTGTCTCCTGCCAGTTAATATCAGTTTAGCGCCATTTCAGCTGCTGCAGCTCCTCAGTGGCAGGCTCTCGTAACATGCAGGCCACCCAGCCAAGGGCAGCACTGATGTGCTTTGCCAGCAGGCCATGAAGGGCGAGAGATGCTGACCAAGACTGACATTTCGCTGTCCAGGATCAAGGTGAACGAGACACATCAATCCATGGGAGAGCAGGTATATAACTGAGCAGTGGGGAACTGAACCCAAAGAGCTCTGTACACAGACACATGGACTAACGAAGGCTGAATCCCCCCATCCAGGAAAATGTGTGATTGGGTCAAATGTTCAAACAATGGCAGACAACAAGAAATGATGGCTGCATGCCTGTTTTAAAGGTACTCACTTCTTCCACATCCATTCTGGTTATCTCCAGGCCAGAATCCTTAGCTTTCCTTTTTCTCCATTGTCCTTGTTCCTCTTCTTGGTTTCCACTCGCTGCTGCCTGTCGCGGTCTCTTTTTTGACTGATCTCTGAGAGACCTACGAAAAGTAATGTAAGACTGGGAGTTCATGCTCTTCCCCAGGTATTTCCCATTGGTCACTGTGGTGACCAGCTGGATGGACCATTGCTTCTGTTTCTATATAACAAATAGTGGAGCAGTTCTGGGTGGGAATACTTCTTAGGCTCCAGTCTTTGCTAGAAGGAATTAATGGAAACATCTATGGCATTTTTCAAGGCCAGAGACAACACAGAAACATTTGGAGGGAAAAAAGTTTAACCTGAAATAATTTTCTACTCCAACTACTGCCAGTGCCAGAATTTTCCCAGGCATTTTCTCCATCACAAGAGCTGCATAGCTCTGTAGGGTCTCCTCCTGTCCTTCTGTACAGCCCTCGGCCTCCTGCAAAGATCAATGGAAAAAAGGAGTTAAACCATTCTGAGTTACACATGCAAGCCCAGCAACCTACGGCTCCAATTCTGCAGCTAGGTCTGCAGATGAAAAAGTCTGTTCACACAGCTCTTCAGGGGCAAACAGGCAATACTTGATTCAGTATAAAGCTATGGCAGAAAGAAATAAAAAAAAAAATTAAAAAACAAATAATCCCACTTGATTTGACAGTTACCTCTTCAAAAATCTGTGAAAAATTGTAACTAGGAAAGAAAGCTTGTCAGAACTTTGCATTATACAACCCTCGTGTTTTTGATCCATTAACGGCTTCTAAAACCAGATTTCAGGTTTACTGAAACAATAGCTCCATCCCACATCAAAACCTTCCTGCCATGAAGAGGGATGACAAACACGACCCTTACAGCAAGGCATGTTCGAGAGCACAAAAGTCATAAGCACTCTCACCTGTTTGTAGTTGTGAACCATGGACAAAAACTCCTCCAAGCGAAGCAGAACCAGGACATTTGGTTCTTCTGTCCATTCATCTCCTTCTTCCATCTGTCCAGGTATGAAAACAGCCAGACCAACAGTCTGTTTATAATTCATTCACTCAAATTGGTGCTCCCACTCAGACCTCTGAGGCAGGGAGAAGATTAGAGGGCATTTACTTGGGTTGTTAAATACAATTACTAATGTGTGCAAATAACAGAGGAAGAAAAGGGCAAGAACATCGAGATTTTGCTCGCACACCTGAGATGACACAGTCTTTCTCCTCCAGGTGATGCTGCGGGGAACACCCTGACTCTCAACCACACAGGAATAATTCGCAGCCTGCAAAGCACTAAGGATCTGTCCACCGCCTTCTCCCTGCAAGAGAACTGAAATCGGTGTACGGGTCAGGCCTCCACAGCAAGAACTAACAGTCAATATAAGGCAGATGCAGGCTGTGAGGACAAGTACCTGGATCTAGCACCACTGTTATGTATTTCTGGCACTCCCCTGGACGCTGAGCTTTCAGCATCTTGGCAAGGGCCCTCTTCCTCTCTTTTTCCTGCTCCTGCTGCCTCCTCTGTGCTTCTCGCTCCTTCCTCCTCTGCCACGCAGCCTGGCAGATTGCATCCCTTTCTTTCTGAGTATATTTTGGCTTGCGGGGGGGGGATGTTTCTGGGCTTGCTCCGCTTACCAGGGGCCTATTAGGCTGGTCTGCGGACTCAGACTGAGAGGCTGGCAGCGGGCACAAAGAGGGCCTCTCAACACCGTGCGTGCCATTTTGGCTGCCACAAGACACTTCTCCAGAAGGCACCAGGGCTCCCTGCGGCCCTCCGTTGCCGGGTGCCAACAGGTCACCGCTAGCACAAAGGCCAGCTCCCCCTGCTGCATCCCCACCGCCCGGCTGGGGGAGCTCAAAAGCCACCTCCCTCTTTGCTTCCACCCTCCTCTTGATCCTCTCAGGCAGAGGGACGACCTCCACCACCTCCTCCTCCTCCTCCCTCTCCTCCTCTTCCTCCTTCTTGTCCTCCTCTTCCTCGTCCTCCTCCTCCTCCATCTCCTCCTCTTCCTCCTCCTCTTTCTCCTCCTCCTCCTCTTCTTCTTCCTCCTCCTCCTTCTCTTTCTCCTCCTCATCCTCCTCCTTCTCTTCTTCCTCCTCCTCCTCCTCCTCCTCCTCCTCCTCCTCCTCCTCCTCCTCCTCCTCCTCCTCCTCCTCCTCCTCCTCCTCCTCCTCCTCCTCCTCCTCCTCCTCCTCCTCCTCCTCCTCCTCCTCCTCCTCCTCCTCCTCCTCCTCCTCCTCCTCCTCCTCCTCCTCCTCCTCCTCCTCCTCCTCCTCCTCCTCCTCCTCCTCCTCCTCCTCCTCCTCCTCCTCCTCCTCCTCCTCCTCCTCCTCCTCCTCCTCCTCCTCCTCCTCCTCCTCCTCCTCCTCCTCCTCCTCCTCCTCCTCCTCCTCCTCCTCCTCCTCCTCCTCCTCCTCCTCCTCCTCCTCCTCCTCCTCCTCCTCCTCCTCCTCCTCCTCCTCCTCCTCCTCCTCCTCCTCCTCCTCCTCCTCCTCCTCCTCCTCCTCCTCCTCCTCCTCCTCCTCCTCCTCCTCCTCCTCCTCCTCCTCCTGGGAAAATGGCGGCGCTGCGGCGACTGTGTGAGTGAGGGGTCACTCCCACCTCCAGCTTCACCCCCCCGTGGGGTAGGGAGAGAGTGCGGCCGTGGGGCGGGAGGCTGAGCTGAGGAGGGGGTGCCCCGGGGGAGACCGTTGCCGGTAGCTCGGGGGCGAGGCCTT